CCTCCTCTACCTTAAGAACCCAAAACCCACTTTTTGTAGGTTCTTATTATCAACCCTAATATGGGATTTATAGAGACCCTACAAAAAAGGTAGGTTTTGGGTTCTTAAGGTATAGACCCTTTTGCAGGGGGCTTGCCTCGTCGTCCGGAAGCTCTGCCCAGAAAGCGTGTCCAAGCAGAGACGAACCCTCGAAACCCCCGGGAACTCATGCCAGAAACCTTGAACCCTTACAGTATGTTGAGAATGTCGCAGCTCGTAAACCCCACATCCTAAACCCTAAACCCTAAACCCCTAAACCCTAAACCCTAAATCCTAAACCCTAAAACCCCTAAATCCCTAAACCCTAAATCCTAAACCCTAAACCCTAAACCCTAAACCCTAAACTAATTGCGAGCCAGGAGCCCACAGAGCCCGAGTCGCCAAGAGTGAGGTTGGAATCCGCAAGAGAAGGGCAATGACGAGAGCATCGAAGATGCGAAAGACGGGCAGGTTCCAGGGCATGGCGAAAAGTATACAAGTGATCACGAAGAAGATAAACCATATATTCCTGAGCGGCGGCCCACTTCTGAGGGTGGTCTATGTTTGTCTCACTCTCTCCATGCCTCTGTTCCTGCCCCTCTCCCTGGTTTTCTTTGTTGGTCCTGAGGCTTCCAACATCTGGGTCGACCCAATCCTTGCCCCTATAAAGCCATCATCAACAGAACATGTGAGAAGACTCGAACTGTTCACATGGGCTTGGCTCCCGGTACACCTCTCAGGGTTCTAGGTTCCCGAACCCGGGAAATTTCAGGATTGAGGCTTCGACCCAACATCCGACCCAAAACCAGTTCGTTTCCAACTGAAACGGTTCTGAGAAAGTACTACTTGGAGGTTCAGGGGTAGTTATAACTGGGGTTATAAGTAGGGTAACTATAGTTCTAACCCATATTAGTGGACTTCTAACTCCACTTATATAACTACCCATGAACCTCCAAGTACTACCCTTTCTCCTCCAATCCCAACTTCTGTCAGCACGGATTTAAGTGCTAACCCTATAAGCCCTAAACCCATCAATGGGTGTTGGGGTTGCGCTCTTAGCTGGAGGACGTGCGGCTGACGATTGCGGGAACAGTGCTGCTCCACATTTTGTAAAGACTATAAGAAAGATACTGAACTTACAAAACCACCAACTCGGTATCCTACAGCCGAAACCCTAGAACTCAGAACTCCAGAATTCTGAGCCCTGAACCCTGCACCCCGAACCCCAAATGCAGTGTACTAAACTGCTATTAAAGGTACCTGAACCCGTCCGTAAACTGCCCTAAACGCGAAACCTCTTTCAACTGGCATCCCAATGCTAAGTCGCTGAGTCCACAAGCCCAAAAAATTGCAAGCTTCCAGTTCTAACAGGGGATAATATTGCCAAACTAGAAGACGAGTGGCCCGAAAGCATCATTAGCCATGAGTTTTGGGGCCATGAGTGTCGGCTATAGAGAGTCTATAGAGAGTCTAAAGAGAGTGTCGTAGAGTCAAGTGTGGTAAAGTCAAGTGTCGTAGAGTCAAGTGTCGTAGAGTCAAGTGTGGTAGAGTCAAGTGTG